TTCTTTTTCCTTTTTTTCTTTTATGTTCTACGTAATATTACAATTAATTGCATATATATATATATATATATATATATTTTTTAAATCCACAGATTGATTGGATTCTCGTTCCAACAGCAATGTTTATTGTAATTTATTAAAACGGAAATGAAACGGGAATACTTTCTAATCTATGGATTTCTCTTTGTTTTATATTTTCTAACAGCATTATTAGTTTCTTATATTCTGTTACAGATAATCCATTTTCTCGTGGCGTCTAATAGCCTAGACCGATGAATTAATGTTGTGAATCTAGCTGGAATAACTTAATATTTACGATTGTTTGTGTCATTAAAATAATCACTGTATTTTAGTTTAGTATCAATTTTTTTACGCTTTCTGTGTAGATATCCGGCTATGTTTCTGAGATTCTCAATTTTACAGGCTTGAATCGTTGTAGACGCTAATCAAGCCTAACAAGTACAGACATTCTACGTATTAATAATATATCTTCAGGCATATTCTTTCAACAGTTAAAGAATAATTCATGTAGCTAGATTTGAAAGCTATCACTATTTATTCTTTTTAAACTTTCTCTCTAAAATGTAATGAGTAATCTTTCCGGCATAACTCTAATTGTTACAAGTCATATTAGAATTTTCTTTTATCATTTATTACAAGTTGCTTCATGTCTAAATGCATTTTGCTTATACAAACGTACATGTTGTCGTTGTATACATACATTTATTACAAGTTGCTTCATGTCTAAATGCATTTTGCTTATACAAACGTACATGTTGTCGTTGTATACATACATTTATTACAAGTTGCTTCATGTCTAAATGCATTTTGCTTATACAAACGTACATGTTGTCGTTGTATACATACATTTTGCATAAATATGTTTCTATTCCCTTCTTCAGACTTTCAAATATGAAAGCAACTATATATATATATATCTCGAAATTATAAATCAAATCTTTGTGCCTCAGTTATACGTATTCATACGTAGATATATAAACCAAGAATAAAGGTGAAATCATTGAACCATGAATGAAGTAAGAGAGTGACAAACGGGATTTTGAGCTTATCGAACGTTTGTTTTCTTTCATCATCCTTCTCGGGGCTCTATCATTGAATTTAATGTATAGAATTTAGACTTAAAATGAGGACAGCACTGGGAATTTCAGAGATAAACTTACTCTTTAACTTTAGAATTGTCTGTATCCTATTAACGATGTAGTTCTATCTTACTGGTTTCGGGTGATGTAAAGGAGCTTTGTATGTAAACAAGATCCTCTTGAGCGGCATATCTTCAAAACTTTTTTCCTTTCATTTCCATAGTACAACAACCACTTGAATATTTTAAACTGCCAATGGAGGAAATCCTTCTTGGTAAAGAAGCTGACTAGTGAAATTTCACGCGTTTCTTCTTCTGTAGAACAGCTCTAAACTATACGTAAATGTTTGAAATGGAAGGACATCATTATAATTCTTCCTTTTATAAGATCGGAAGTTTTAAGATTTAAACAAATATTTACAGCTGTTTTTGTTAATCAAAAGCTAATTGGTTTGTTTCTGGTAATTTGCAATGACTTTTTAAGAAAGATGTTCTTAAGTTGTATAAAAATTGAACTTCAATACTTTAAGGTCAATGTCAGGGATACTATTTCAAAATGCGATATCCAATGTTACATTAACTTTGGAAGTCTGTTTGTTTGTTTGTCTGATTTTATTCGCAAAGCTACACAATGGGCTA